ACAGCCCGAGCATACACCCTGACTGGGAATTGAACTGTGACCTCCTGGTTCATAGGTTGATGCTCAACCACTGAACACGCCGGTGGGCTGGGTCTCTTATCAGGGCACTAATCCCATTCACGAGGGCTCCACCCTTATGACCTAATCACCTCCCAAATACCATCACATTGGGGATTGGGTGTTAAGATATGATGGGGGGGGGCACAGACATTCAATCCATAACAGGGTGTATGTGTCTGTAGGTATAACAGAACTGGAGAGTGAGGTGTGAGGCTAGACTAGACCTTCGCGGCCCAGGATGGTCGCCATGAGCCACAAGCGCTTGAAGTGCAGCTGGTCCAAATTGAGATGTGCTCTGAGTGAAAAATACACATTGGGTTTCAAAGACTTTAGTAAGGAAAAGAGAACGTAAAGGATTGCAATAATGTTCATATTGGTTACATGTTGACATGATTATATGTGGGCTACATTGTGTGAAACAAATGTATTATTCAACATAATTTTATTTTCCTCAAAAGCTAAACATCGAGTTATCATAGAACCCGGCAACCCCACCTCTAGGCCTAGACCCCAAAAGAATTGAAAACAGGTGTGCAAACAGGAACATGGACAGGCATATACAGAGCAGCGCTATTCGCAGCACCAAGAGGTGGAAACAGCCCAGATGTCCATCAACAGATGAATGAATAGGCAGAATGCGGTCCATTCACTCGGTGGAATATTATTCGCCTGTAAAAAGGAAGGAAGTCCTGCTACCTGTTACAGCGTGGATGAACCATGGAAACATTATGCTGGCCCTAGCCAGTTTGGCTCAGTGGATAGAGCATTGCGGCCTGCGGACTGAATGGTCCCAGGTTCGATTCTAGTCAAGGGCACATGCCCGGGTTGCTGGTTTGATCCCCAGTAGGGGGCATGCAGGAGGCAGCCGATCAATGATTCTCTCTCATCATTGATGTTTCTATCTCTCTGTCCCTCTCCCTTCCTCTCTGAAATCAATAAAAAATATATATTTAAAAAAAGAGACCCAGCCCTGGCCTGTGTTTCTCAGTGGTTAGAGCATCAGCTGAGCACCGAAGGGTTGTGCGTTCAATTTCCGGTCAAGGGCATGTGCCTGGGTGCAGGAGGCAACCAATTAATGTGTCTCTCTCTCACATAGATGTTCCTCTCTCCCTCCCTCCCTCCTTCCCACTCTCTCTAAAAACCAATGTAGAAAAGATCCTCGCCGAAACCGGTTTGGCTCAGTGGATATCATTGATGTTTCTAACTATCTCTCTCCCTTCCTCTCTGTAAAAAATCAATAAAATATATTTAAAAAAAAAAAGATCCTCATGTGAGGATTAACAGAAAAAAAAGAAGAGAGAGACCCAGAGAGCTCCCTCATCCCTCCACCATGCGAGGACACAGAAAGATGGTCTCACCAGACGCCAAACCTGCCAACTGCTTCATATTGGACTTCCGGCCTCCAGAACTGTGCAGAATAAATATCTGTTGTTTATCTGCCACCCAGTCGGTGGTATTCTGTGATAGCAACCCGAATGGACAAACACTTGTCTCGGCCAGGGACCTCAGGCTCCTAATCAATAAACTTGAGTCAGATAGGGAGGACGTGTGTACGCGGACCCCTGGGGCTATCTGGCACTGGGTGTGTGCAGGCCCAACCACTGGGTGTGGAAAAACAAAAGCCGCCGGAGGCCTGATGCTATAAAAGTGAGAGAAGGTGACCTGACCTTTGCCTCCAGGAGGAGGTGGCTGCTGCAGAGGCCAGCACGCATACCCAGGAGCCACCGCTGGCTCTCAGCTGCCTGTGGGCACCCTGGGTCAGGGGTCACCCCTTAAGCTGGTACAGAGCCCCAGATCGGGGTGGGGGAAGGTGGCCCAGGTCAACAGGGACCCAGATGGAGCTCCCACAGGATTGCTTTTTGGGGGGAATGTTTCCAGCTCCTTGGGGCAGACTGAGCCAGGCCTTGGGGCCACACCAGGCAGCCCTCTGATTCATTCGTCGGTGCGAGGACCCCAGAGTGGAGGCGGAGAGAGCGCCTTTAAATAGAGCTCAGCGCCATCTGAGGCTGCAGGGCTGCTGGAAGGGAGCCAGCCACCGCCCCTGACCTGGCCAGCCTCCCTCCAGATGGGGTTCACACACCACCCCCTCCCGCCTCTCTGCTTTCCCCTTCCGCGGCAGCCTCAAGCCGCCTGCCCTGCCAGGCCCAGGCTCAGATGTGCCGGCTTTCTGTAAATGTGAGATATAAAAAGAAGCGGGGAGCAGGCGCAGGGGTGGGCAATGGCCGCTGGCTCGCTGAGAGATGCCGCCCCCACACTGCCCAGCCCGGCAAACACTCCCCCGCGGAGAGGAGCGGGCGAGCGCTTGCACGCAGACACTGTGACAAGCCGGCATTTCAAATCAGACATAAGGAGGCCAGCCAGCTGGGGGGAAGCCAAGTCTGACTTTGTAAAGGCCTCTCTCCTTGGCCGGAGCCGGGCCCTGGAAATCGCAGATTGCGTGGGATGCCCTCAGCTGAGGCGCGTCAAGCCTGCCCCAGGCAGTGACCCTCATGGAGGCACCGGGGCTCCGGCTGGCTGGCCTTGCCGGGCTCTGAGTGCCGGTGCAGGAAGGTGACAGATGCGGTAACATCAGGCACCTGTCCTTCAGCTGCCCCTCACCTGCCTCCACTCCCACGCCCCCTGCTCCCCATCAGCCGAACCCCACCGCCAGCACTTTCTGCTGCTCCTTCAAGTGTACACTGAGCAGCTGTTCCAGGCCCAGGGCCAGGAGCTGGGGATGCCCGGCGCCGGCACCGTTCACATCCTCGTGGGCTCGGTCAGATGGAGGAGACAGAGCACGGCAACAGCTACATCAACAAACCAAAAAGAAAACGCAGGCCAAGGACGGATGACAGCTGGGACCTGTGCTGTGCAGGAGCAGCTCAGAGCACCTGGGGAGGCCGACCTTGGAGGGACCTTCCGGGCCTGAGGATGAGGGGGCAGGTAGGAGAAGGGAGAGGGGTCCAGGTTGCCTCTTGCTTTTCTGCAGGTCTCACGTCCGCCTGACCCAGGCTAAGCCACGCACGTAGCGCTGCGTGAATGAATGAATGAATGCACCCGCATGTGACAGCAGCACGCCGGCTCTGCAGCCAGCCGGGCCAGAAAGCGAACCCTGGCACCTCCGCTCCTCTCCGAGCAACCTCCCGTCTGCCTCTCTGGGCCTCAGGTTTCCGGCTGTAAATGATCCTCGTCGTAAAAACATAAATGCATCTGGCACTGTGCAGGGCATGCCTTCCCTTCTAGAGCTTTCCCCGGTTCTTCCCCCTCTGTCTCCAGCTCCCTGGGCCCCTGGGGAAGTGGAACGCTCTGCCTTTAAGAGAGAGAAGGTAGGAACCTCCCCACGCTGGCCCTGGGCCTCACTCCTCGGGCCCTCGGGCGGCCAAGCCGGTGCTGGGGCCGCTCCTCAGAACCACTCACACACTCTTGTCTTGGCCTAAATATATTGCAACCTCCGAGTCATCCCAGGGCCTAGACTTCCTGCCCGAGTGGGTGCCAAGAAAAACAAGAAAAACAAAAGCCGCCGGAGGGACATGCACGGCGACAGGAGGAGGAGGAAGGAGAACCCATGGGGCAGGTCTGAGAGGTGCCTCGAGGGTCCTGGTGCTGATGGGGTGCTAGGAAAGCTGAGGATGCGGGGGGGCGGGGGTGTCTCCCCCACACTGCACCCTGTTTCCCTCCTCAGCTCAGCAGCTCTGAGTCACCATTCTGGCAGCTGCTGGCCCAGAGCCAGGCTGGGTGGGACCTGAGGGCAGGAGGTGGGTGGGGAGACCTACTTTAGCCTCTGGTTCCTCCTCCCAGCCCACAGGGGCCTTGGGTCTCAGAGCTCACACCCTGATCCACACCCAGTTAATCCCGGAATCCCCACGCCCTCTGGCTTCCAGGGCCCCTGCTGCTGCCCCTGCCCACCCCTGGGAACCAGGAAGGAAGAAAAGGACTGCCCGTCTCCACCCACTAGGGCTCTGCTGATGCTACTGCCCAGCAGGCCCCCCACCGGGGGCTGAGGAGCCACCACCCCTCCCTCTGGGCAGACAGTACTCTGGCCCGGGGCTGGTGGTCCTGCTGACCCCACTGACCCCTCCCCAAGATGCTGGAACCTGCCAGTTACCGCTACCACCAGGACTCAAGCAAATTTGGGAAAACACATCAACATACACAATATTATTTTGTAGCAAAAGGTGTGTAGAGGCAGAACAGTCAAGGCAGGTGAGGAGTCTGACATCACACACATACACACACACACCACACCCAGCAGCCACATCTGGAAACGTTTTGGGTTGCCATGACAGTGGAAGGAGGCCCTACTGATACTCTTTCCAGTGAGACGAGGAAACTTTGGTTCTTGTCTTCTTTTCTTTTTTTAAATATTTTTATTGATTTCAGAGCTCATGGGAGAGGGAGAGAGAGAAGCACTGATCAGCTGCCTCCTGCACACCTCCCACTGGGGATGGAGCCCGAAACCCAGGCATGTGCCCTTGACCGGAATCGAACCTGGGACCCTTCAGTCCACACAGGCGGACGCTCTAGCCACTGTCAAACCAGCCAGGGCGGTCCTCGTCTTTTTGAGGGAAAAACTTCACTCAAGAGACAAAGTGTAGAAAAGCAAGCAAGAATTTCTTGACCACAGCAAAAATATAGCTGGGCTGGGCTGCTCTGGCTCACTGAGGAGTCAGAGAAAAGGGGCCTTGGAGACAGGGTCAGCGGGTTAGGCCAGGATGAGCTGCTGCTGCCCACTGCTCCCCTGGGTGCAAGTCTCATGGGATCCCTTGGAGGTTGGGGGATACGCGCCTGTGGGGGAAGGAGAGGAGCAGGAGGAAGGGAATGGCATGGGCTTGCTCCCTGGAGGGAGAGTGCACTGGGACCTTCATTTTCGGGGGGTTTTGAAGTCTGGGTCTTTAGGGGAGGCCTTAGGGATGCATCAATAGAATATTCATCAGCTTTATGCTGATGTACCAACATGAGCTTTGTTCTCTTCATTTGTCTGTCCTTGGGTGTTGTCGACAAATGGCGCTTAATTGGATTTCTGTTAACTGTCTCCCTAAGATGATTTACTAGTAAACAGGCTAACAGCAAGGAGGGGAAGTCACCATGCACCAGGAGCAGGGGCAAGGTGCGCTAGGGCAGCGGTCGGCAAACCGCGGCTCGCGAGCCACATGCAGCTCTTTGGCCCCTTGAGTGTGGCTCTTCATAAAATACCACGTGCAGTATTGAAACTTTGTGGCCTATGCGCTGAAGTCGGTTTTCAGAAAGGAGATGGACGAAACAAGTATACAAGACGAGTGTTGATGGGAGAGTTGGAAGGGGTCGACCTCAGCGAACATACCTCAATCAGATTGAGGACGTTTTTAGCAAAGGCCAGCTTAGGAGTACCCTGATTAAGTTAATAACAATGTACCTACCTATATAGTTTAAGTTTAAAAAATTTGGCTCTCAAAAGATATTTCAATCGTTGTACTGTTGATATTTGGCTCTGTTGACTAATGAGTTTGCCGACCACTGGTGTAGTGTGGGGGAAGGAGAGGGGCAGGAGGAAGGGAATGGCATGGGCTTGCTCCCTGGAGGGAGAGTGCACTGGGACCTTCATTTTCGGGGGTTTTGAAGTCTGGGTGTTTAGGGGAGGCCTTAGGGATACATCAATAGAATATTCATCAGCTTTATGCTGATGTACCAACATGAGCTTTGTTCTCTTCATTTGTCTGTCCTTGGGTGTTGTCGACAAATGGCGCTTAATTGGATTTCTGTTAACTGTCTCCCTAAGATGATTTACTAGTAAACAGGCTAACAGCAAGGAGGGGAAGTCACCATGCACCAGGAGCAGGGGCAAGGTGCGCTAGGGCAGCGGTCGGCAAACCGCGGCTCGCGAGCCACATGCAGCTCTTTGGCCCCTTGAGTGTGGCTCTTCATAAAATACCACGTGCAGTATTGAAACTTTGTGGCCTATGCGCTGAAGTCGGTTTTCAGAAAGGAGATGGACGAAACAAGTATACAAGACGAGTGTTGATGGGAGAGTTGGAAGGGGTCGACCTCAGCGAACATACCTCAATCAGATTGAGGACGTTTTTAGCAAAGGCCAGCTTAGGAGTACCCTCATTAAATTAATAACAATGTACCTACCCATATAGTTTAAGTTTAAAAAATTTGGCTCTCAAAAGAAATTTCAATCTGTTGATATTTGGCTCTGTTGACTAATGAGTTTGCTGACCACTGCGCTAGGGTAATAATCCAGGATAATCCGAGCGTGTGTGCGTGTGTGCCTGGCTGTGTGTGACCCCCTGGGCCTAGACTCGGTTTAGGGTGCTGAGGTCAAGCCCACTCGCCACCTGTCGGGTCTCGCCAGAAGCCGTGTCCGTGGGTGGGAACCGTGGCCCTGGGGCTGGACCCTGGCTCCAGCTTTCAGGAACAGGGCTGGCTTTCATCGCAGGGGGACCACTGCGAGGGTAGAGGATGCGTAGGCCCCTTCTTCCCACGGACGTCCCAAGAGAGTCATGAGAAAGAGGGACAAGCTTGAGGCGTAAGGAAGGAGGCAAGGGAATTGGGGACACCTAGATGGTCCTGGGAGACACAGAGGTGCTGCTGGCTGTCAGGTCCCCAAGGGCCCCCCTCGCACACTTCCCCCTCCGTCGCCTCATCTCCAGGAGGGAGAGGGAAGCGCCCCCACCCGGTGGAAAGGAAAGCTTTGGTGGTCCCAGGGCACGCCCCTTCTTCAAGCTTCACACCCACCCCCCTGGGGAGGGAATGCCTTTTCCCAAACCACATGACGGCACTTTGCAGATGCCAGTTCCTGTTTATAAGACAGCATCTGTGGGAAGTCGGAGGGTAGCTGGGGAACACGTGGAACTCAGTGCTGCAGACTGGAGCCCAAGGCGGAGAGGGTCCCAGGAGCCCCGTCCCCACCCACACTGAGTGAATGCGATGCCCCCAGGGAGGCAGCAGTGAGTAATTGCAGGCTTGGCCTTCCCCCGGGCAAGAAGCCAAAATAAGGTTAATTCCGGAAGGGTGGGTCAAAACAGAGGCAAGAGGGAGGGAGGGGGCCTCAGGTGGAGGCCGGTTGGCAGTGGGCCGGCCTGCAGTCCAGGTCCAGGCCCCTCCCGGCCTCAAAAAGGCCCCTGATTGGGAGGGTGGTGTCCGATGGGCCCTCCCTGACTGCCCTGGGGTCTAAAGGGCAAAGCACCGAGTTACTTCCTGTTCCAGACACCGGCCAGGGGGCCAGGCAGCAGCCTTCCCAGTCCAGCAATTTGATTTTGCTCAGTAAATAATGATCACACACACACACACACACACACACACACACACACTGACACACAAACCACCTTTGTCCTTTTCACCTTTTCAACCCCCTGGGGGAGCGTGTACAAATTGGCCCCTGGGGATGTTTTCATCTTTGAAAGGAGAAAAAAAGATGTCGGTCACCTAGCAAGTGGGCAAACATGGTGGGTGCTCAGCTGTGGGCTCAAGGAAGGAAAGAGAGAGAGGGGGAGGGGGAGAAAGGAAGGGGAGAGGGGAGGGAGAGAGAGAGCGAGAGAGAGAGCTGCCCATTGGTGGCAGGGGCAGGGAGACTCAGGTGCTCTCTCCTTATTTGTGAACAAGATGTTGGTTGCTGGGTTTATAGAAGCAAAGATCCCTACCCACCCCTTTCTCCCACCCAAATCCAGGAGAGAAAAACACACCAATGGACTTTGTCTGATTAGATGTACCTTTGCCCAGTGCCTCAAGTCCTTCAGCTATAAAAGGGGGCTAGTGAAAGTGCCTGTTTAACTCTGGCCCAGGCGTGCAGGAGGGTTGACTAAGTGAATACAAGCCGCACACAGCACCCAGCTGGCAGCCAGCATCAACACAAGTCTCTTCTTAGCACAGGGTGTGTCATCTGGTCTGTAGCTAACCGGAAGCCCCCGGGGCCGGATGCTGCCTCTCCAGCGGCCCTTGAACACTCCCAGAGTCTTCTGAGGGTGCTTCTCGGGCTGGCTCGGTCAACCGAAGGGACTTGGCATGAAGCCTCAGTTAACACAGCTAATTCCCCAAAACTTGTCTTCCCAGGGCTCCACGATGGAGGAGAGGTTTCCAAGATTCCAACTCAGCTCCCTCCAGCCCCTGAGGACGGCCCTGTGCCCCTGTCAGGCCCTTGGGAGAACTTCCCAAACTGTAGGAAACTGAGGCCCAGACCAGTGAGATAGCTCAGGCAGGGGTGTGTGTGTGTGGGGGGGGGATTACCCCTGGGCAACGGGGCAGGGCAGCTAGGATGGTGTTGGCAGACATAGCTGTACCTGCATTTACCTGGGACACGTGGGTCCCCCGGCCCAGCCCCAGAGACCCTGGGGTTTCTCAGAGCTCAGAGTTGAAGGCGTCCTGGTGAGCCTCGCCGGGTCCCCTGGCTGCACACTGCAGCCTTGGAGGGGAAAGAACCTGGCCCTGGGCGGCCATGAGGAGGGCAAGGTCTGCATCCACATCACCATTTCCCAATCACTTCTGCAAACAGCACCTGGGACAGAAAAGGCTCTGTGTATTGACCTCCTTTGTCCATCCTCTCACTCCCCA